CTCACCTTCACAAGGAATGTTAAGATTAACCCTTCATACAACTCCATCAACCCAAATCCAATACAAACCATGAGATGTATTACTAGCCCGAGGGACCGGAGGACAGCTGAGGTGACCAGAGATTGTGGAATTGCTGCCATTCGGGAAAAACACGTGACATTTTCTATAACTCAATAAAACAAAAACTTGTAAATAATTAGTGCCGGTCGTGTTGTGAATAATCTTTCCCCAAATATTGTTATCCCTTTGTTACTTCCAATGTCTCATCATCCCTACTACACCCAGTGCCTCATCCCTCTACTACACCCAGTACCTCATCCCTCTACTACACCCAGTACACAATTTAATCTGGCATGCATGGGACTGTCCCAAGTGCTGGATTCCCCACAAGGTCACTGCGGTTATGGCCTCGGGGGGCGGGGAGGGGGGCAGCAGGGAGTAGAGGGGCAGCACAGCCGATACTGCACCTTTACATCTTTTAGTAGGTTTGGCTGCCTGAGGTCCTGAGCTTGCTGGGGACCTCAGGCAGCTGTCTTTGATAGTGCTTGTCTGGCTGCACATTGCCTCCTCCTTCCCAGCGCTAGCACAGCACAGGACAGTCTCACAGCCACCAGCACAGCCCTGGAGCCTGGCACAAGTCCAGATCCCACCCGTTCAGTCCTAGAGAGCCCAGCAGCCGCATGCAGAGCTTTGGAGAGCTAGGCACCCGCCCACAGAGACCTGGAGAGACCCACACGCATCCCTGCTGAGACCCAAATGCAGCCCTGCTGAGACCCAAATGCAGCCCTTCTGAGACCTGCACATATCTCTGGTGAGACCCAAACGCAGCCCTGGTGGGACCCAAACGCAGCCTTTGTGGGACCCAAACGCAGCCCTGGTGGGACCAAATGCAGTCCTGCTGAGACCCAAACGCAGCCTTTGTGGGACCCAAACGCAGCCCTGGTGCGATCTGCATGCACCCCTGTACAATTGCTGTGTAATCATGAATTGATGGCATCTGTGGTCCTCTATAGACTACAAATCTCAGCAGTACATGATTGCTGGTTGCCATTCTCCATTGAGGGGAGGGGGGCGCATTGAGGAGCCTGACCTGGCCTTGGGTCAGTAGAGAGAGTAAATCCGACCCTGACTGTCCCCATAGTGCGGACAGTTGTCAGGAATCTGCCAGGATGTGTCAGTGCTGCTCTTGCTCGGTCTGGTCATTTTTGGTGCTGCCTATCTCAATATTAACCCCTTCGTGACTGACGACGTACAGTGTACGTCGCCAGCATCGGGGCTGTTTAAACAGACTCCCGGCGACTTTTGCCGCCGGGAGTCTGTTTAAACTTGTAGAGCCGACTGTCGGCTTTACAACAGAAGCGATCCTGGCGACTTACCTGTCGCCAGATCGCTTCTGCGTCCCGAAGAAGGGGCCCCCCCCCCGCCGGACACCCCCGCCGTGCTTCCCGGGCTCCGTTGCCCCTCCTACGGGCCCGGGACCGGCGATCTTTGTGTCCGCGGGGAGCTGGGGAGGAGGTCGACGAACTTCCGTTCATCGATCCCCTCCCCGTTCTATGGGACCGGGAGCGATGCAGATTGCATCACTTCCGGTCCCTGGGCTGTCAGTTCTGGGCTCCTGCAGCCCAGCTATAAGCTATTGAAGTGCGATCTGCACTTCAATAGCTTATTTCCAGTGTAAAGGTGACACTGAGGGTCTTTTGGACCCCCAGCATCACCTTAAAGAGGACCTGTCACCACCATCTGCTATTACATGGGGGGGCTTGCAAGCCCCCCCATGTGATAGCAGTCAAAGTAAAGTAAAAAAAAAAAAAAAAACAGTTTTTAAAATTAAAATGAAATAAAATAAATCTAATAATAAAAAAAAAAAATTTTAAAAGTACCCCGCCCCCGCGAGCACGCGCGTCGCCACGTAAACACGCGTCGGGTGCGCCTACGCATGAAAACGACGAACGCGCTACACATGTTGGGTATCGCCGCGCACGCCGGAGTGAGAGCAATAATTCTAGGGCCAGTATTTTGTTGTATCTCTAAATTGATGACCTGTGGGGGCTTTTAAAGTGTCTTTTATTGACTTTTTGGGGTACTGCAGTTTTTCGCCGTTTCACGGTCGCACGCAATCTGTAAACTGGGCATGTTGGGTATCGTTTTACTCGTTGTAACCTCATCTTTTATATTTCATTAAAAAAATTGGTAATTTGTTGTGTTTTGGGGCATTTAATTAAATTTGTCACTAAATTTTGGGGTTTAATAAGGAGTTGCGCTAATATTGCGCAACATAAAAATGTTCAACTACCACCATTTTATTCTATAGGGTCTTGGCATTCAGAAAATATATAATGTTGGGGGGTTTTACGTCATTTTCAGGCCTAAAATGTGGAATATAACATGGGTGCAAAAAATGAAAAAAGGGCCTCAGTCATGAAGGGGTTAACATCAATGCTTGGACTGTAGAATGTACTGAATTTAGAGGAGACATAACTGATGGGAAGAAGCCTGAGGATCGGTATATAAGAGCTCTTATTGCACGCTGTGGATAACCATCTGCAGTACCCACTAATGGACACAAGGTGGCAGCAGAACACTCAGCGGAAGAAAGCCGTGCGATCCACAAACTCCACCACTAGAGGGCAGATACGGACACGATCAGAGGCTGCTGGAACGCACAACCCGGAAGTGTGTGGTGGAACGCAAAGAGCAGGAAACTGCAATAGAACAGGAAGTGTTGGGTCTCAGTGATGGGTGGCTGCTGATTTATCTGTGTAAGTTTTACCTATTTATGATTTATATATTGCAGGTTCCATAGTCTAGTTTGTTTTTGTAATAATTCAGCTGCTTAATTTTAAAGCTTGATATTTATTGAGCTCGGCTATTGTTATCGAATCCTCACTGTGACCAGTTGGTGAAAGCGTCGCGCCTGTGCTGCACTCGTCCTTTCTATGACCCAAAAATTATTTATGGTTCAGCAAAGTTTGTATTGTGCGTCCCAACGTCAGAAGTTGAGAAGGAGGCATTTCAATGCGGGGAAGATCTAAATGGAATGGCCGGCAAAGCTGACTATGGGAGTAATGGCACGCCGTGCGTCGGCATGGCCTCCTGCACCTTCATGTAGGGAGCCCAGGGATGCAAAATGAGCACACCGGGACGGGTCTGCTTCCGTGCGTGGCGTAGTCAGATTGCAAGAGCAGACTAGAGGAACTGCTAGGTATGTTCTAGCAAATGAATGAGAAGTAAAATAGAAGGCGAGCTTTATAAGAAGCTTTGTAATGTATACACATTGTATACACACACATGTATATATGTCATATCGATTTTAATTACTTTACCACCAAAGACAGTCTCACAGACAGGAATAAACCTCAGCACATAGGATCATGATAAGTCTCACAGACAGGCATAAACCTCAGCACATAGGATCACGATAAGTCTCACAGACAGGCATAAACCTCAGCACATAGGATCATGATAAGTCTCACAGACGGGCATAAACCTCAGCACATAGGATCATGATAAGTCTCACAGACAGGCATAAATCTCAGCACATAGGATCATGATAAGTCTCACAGACAGGCATAAATCTCAGCACATAGGATCATGATAAGTCTCACAGACAGGTATAAACCTCAGCACATAGGATCAGGATAAGTCTCACAGACAGGAATAAACCTCAGCACATAGGATCATGATAAGTCTCACAGACAGGCATAAACCTCAGCACATAGGATCATGATAAGTCTCACAGACAGGCATAAACCTCAGCACATAGGATCATGATAAGTCTCACAGACAGGCATAAACCTCAGCACATAGGATCATGATAAGTCTCACAGACAGGCATAAATCTCAGCACATAGGATCATGATAAGTCTCACAGACAGGCATAAATCTCAGCACATAGGATCATGATAAGTCTCACAGACAGGTATAAACCTCAGCACATAGGATCATGATAAGTCTCACAGACAGGAATAAACCTCAGCACATAGGATCATGATAAGTCTCACAGACAGGAATAAACCTCAGCACATAGGATCATGATAAGTCTCACAGACAGGAATAAACCTCAGCACATAGGATCATGATAAGTCTCACAGACAGGAATAAACCTCAGCACATAGGATCATGATAAGTCTCACAGACAGGAATAAACCTCAGCACATAGGATCATGATAGATCAAAAGTAAACTGTTCCATGACTTGTGCTTTTCTGTGCATAGAATTTAGACAGAGCGCCGAGGATGGACGAGTGTCAAAGTCACATGACTGAGTAGATATTAGACCTCACCCTGGAGATCATCTACCTGCTGACCGGAGAGGTGAGGAGGATTCTGGGAGGTCACATGACATCACTCTTATCTCTAGTAATAAAACACAGACCTGATCGGAGAGGTGAGGAGGATTCTGGGAGGTCACATGACATCACTCTTATCCTCTATTAATAAAACACAGACCTGACCGGAGAGGTGAGGAGGATTCTGGGACTGTAGAGTAAGTGATGGAAACATATTTTTTGTTCCCTTCTTCAGGATTTTATGGTAGTCAGGAAATCATCAGGCAACGAACTGAGCAAGAGCCAGATCCCCATCACGCAGCCTCCACCTGGACGCAACCACAAGAAGATCCTAGAGGTCACCCAGATGATCATTGAGCTGCTGATGGGAGAGGTGAGCGGTGCCGGGAATTCTGGGACATGATCCAGGAACAGACAAGGGATGTGTCTGGATGGTGACTGTATCATTGTGTGTGTCAGGTTCCTATAAGGTGTCAGGATGTCTCTGTCTATTTCTCCATGGAGGAGTGGGAGTATCTAGAAGGACACCGGGATCTCTACAAGGACGTCATGATGGAGAATGAGCCGCCCCTCACATCACCGGGTAAGAGGAGAGAGCAGTATGGAGGGTCCACCTAGATCCCCCATCATCTGATACACACATAGAAACAATGTATTCAGTCAGTGTGTGTGTTTCCTACAGATGAATCCAGTAAGAGGAACCCACCAGAGAGAGGTCCCCGTCCGGTTTACCCTGGAGATTCCTCACAGGAAGATTACAGATCCCTATGGAAGCATCCGGACGTCGTGATAGAGAACGAGCCGCCCCTCACATCACCGGGTATGTTGAGATATATTTGTATTATCTGTAAGGGGGAGAAGGAAACATTGGGCCTGGTAGGTTCTATGATGGAAACGAAGAAGAGACTTACGTATTTATACCTTACAGAGATATCTGAAGGCGTTGAGGTGCTACAGACCCACGGAGCCATCAAAGAAGAGCTGGACTCTTCGGAGGACAGAGGTGTCAATACCGAGGTATACTATATGGAGGACAATGTCAAGAAGGAAGACCTCTTGGGTGGAGATGGCCAGACCTATGTAATTCGACTATCGCCTCCAAACGGTACTGCCCCCGGGGGCGAGAGACTTGACCCCTTTGCTTACATTAAAGAGCAGCTAGCCGTTGACCCTTTAGCGTTTCATACGAAAGAGGGAGCATCTACAGCAAGTGAAGATCCTCTGGAACAAACAACCCAGACTGGCCCCCAGGCCGGACACAGGAGCGCTCACGAAGGATCGGAACCTTGGGTTATAATGAACAGAGATGGCAATCGCAGGAAAACTCAATGGACCTGTCCATCTTGGCCACCACCAGAGGGCCCTGAGACCAAGACGTACAGCTGTGCCGAGTGCCAAAGCGTCTTCACCAGCAGCTCCGAGTTCTTCAGACACCAGCTCATGTACAGCGGGCCCCATTCCCTGCCCTGTTTGCAGTGCGGGAAGTTCTTCGGCAGGGAGGAGCAGCTGGTGAAACATCAGCTGATCCACACCAGCCCCAAACTGTACACGTGCCCCGAGTGCGCCAAGTCCTTCCGGCTCCGGTCGCTGCTCATCGAGCACCTGCGCACTCACACCGGGGAGAAGCCGTTCGCGTGCAAGGACTGCGGGAAGTGTTTCGCCCAGAGGTCGACGCTGATGAAGCACTTGCGGGCCCACTCGGGCGAGAGGCCGTACTCCTGTACGGAGTGCGGGAAATCCTTCAATCAGAAGTCGATGCTGGTCAACCACCAGCGGACCCACACCGGGGAAAGGCCTTACGCGTGTTCGGAGTGCGGGAAGCGCTTCTCCCACAGCACCAACCTGGTGACCCACCAGAGGATCCATTCGGGAGAGAAGCCCTATTCGTGTAAGGACTGCGGGAAATGTTTTACTAAGAAGTCAGCCCTGACCTGTCACCTGCGGACGCACACCGGGGAGCGGCCTTATGCTTGCTTGGAGTGCGGGAAAAGCTTCACTCGCAGTTCTTACCTCCTCCTACACCAGAGGGTCCACTCGTCGCAGACTTCAACTGCCCAAAATGAACCTTATCTTCAAAAATATAACCGGAACCTGAAACAAAGCCTACATACAACCGAAACACCCCTTCCCCTCATAACAAATCATACGTACTAACGGGGGCTGGGTATTGGGCACGTTGGCGCCGGTGACAACCAGTCTTTTGTGTAACACCGAAAGGTGAAAAGATCACAAAACGCCCGGCGAGAGAAGATTTTCAGTTTTCATCAATCAATAAAAAGCATAAGGAAAATAAATGTTCTGTCTCTATTATGCTCAGTGGATCATGCGTCTCTCTATTGCATGTCTTGTTATGTCTCTTGCAGTCCTCTTTACAACGCACAGTGCCCCATACCTCTTTACTATGCACAGTGCCCCATACCTCTTTACTACGCACAGTGCCCCTTACCTCTTTACAACGCACAGTGCCCCATACCTCTTTACTATGCACAGTGCCCCATACCTCTTTACTACGCACAGTGCCCCTTACCTCTTTACAACGCACAGTGCCCCGTACCTCTTTACTATGCACAGTGCCCCGTACCTCTTTACTACGCACAGTGCCCCTTACCTCTTTACTACGCACAGTGCCCCGTACCTCTTTACTACGCACAGTGCCCCGTACCTCTTTACTAACCACAGTACCCCATACCTCTTTACTATGCACAGTGCCCCTTACCTCTTTACTATGCACAGTGCCCATACCTCTTTACTACGCACAGTGCCCCATACCTCTTTACAACGCATAGTGCCCCGTACCTCTTTACTACGCACAGTGCCCCGTACCTCTTTACTACGCACAGTGCCCCGTACCTCTTTACTACGCACAGTGCCCCGTACCTCTTTACTACGCACAGTGCCCCGTACCTCTTTACTACGCACAGTGCCCCGTACCTCTTTACTACGCACAGTGCCCCGTACCTCTTTACTACGCACAGTGCCCCGTACCTCTTTACTACGCACAGTGCCCCGTACCTCTTTACTACGCACAGTGCCCCGTACCTCTTTACTATGCACAGTGCCCCATACCTCTTTACTACGCACAGAGCCCCATACCTCTTTACTACGCACAGTGCCCCATACCTCTTTACTACGCACAGTGCCCCGTACCTCTTTACTACGCACAGTGCCCCATACCTCTTTACTATGCACAGTGCCCCATACCTCTTTACTACGCACAGTGCCCCTTACCTCTTTACAACGCACAGTGCCCCATACCTCTTTACTATGCACAGTGCCCCATACCTCTTTACTACGCACAGTGCCCCTTACCTCTTTACAACGCACAGTGCCCCATACCTCTTTACTATGCACAGTGCCCCATACCTCTTTACTACGCACAGTGCCCCTTACCTCTTTACAACGCACAGTGCCCCATACCTCTTTACTATGCACAGTGCCCCATACCTCTTTACTACGCACAGTGCCCCTTACCTCTTTACAACGCACAGTGCCCCGTACCTCTTTACTATGCACAGTGCCCCGTACCTCTTTACTACGCACAGTGCCCCTTACCTCTTTACAACGCACAGTGCCCCATACCTCTTTACTATTCACAGTGCCGCATACCTCTTTACTACGCACAGTGCCCCTTACCTCTTTACAACGCACAGTGCCCCGTACCTCTTTACTATGCACAGTGCCCCGTACCTCTTTACTACGCACAGTGCCCCTTACCTCTTTACAACGCACAGTGCCCCGTACCTCTTTACTACGCACAGTGCCCCGTACCTCTTTACTACGCACAGTGCCCCGTACCTCTTTACTAACCACAGTGCCCCATACCTCTTTACTATGCACAGTGCCCCTTACCTCTTTACTATGCACAGTGCCCATACCTCTTTACTACGCACAGTGCCCCATACCTCTTTACAACGCATAGTGCCCCGTACCTCTTTACTACGCACAGTGCCCCGTACCTCTTTACTACGCACAGTGCCCCGTACCTCTTTACTACGCACAGTGCCCCATACCTCTTTACTATGCACAGTGCCCCATACCTCTTTACTTTGCATAGTGCCCCATACCTGTTTACTATGCACAGTGCCCCGTACCTCTTTACTATGCATAGTGCCCCATACCTCTTTACTTTGCATAGTGCCCCATACCTCTTTACTTTGCATAGTGCCCCATACCTCTTTACTTTGCATAGTGCCCCATACCTCTTTACTTTGCATAGTGCCCCTTACCTTTTTTTTTTTCCCGTGAGCTTTCAGTGTCGGTGCACACAGAGGTGAAGGTGCAGAGACAGACAGATCACTACACATGAGAGACCTGCAGGCCGCCAGGAAGTACAGCGATTCATGTGTTAGGGGCTGCTCTGTCTTATTGGTATTCAGTGGGAGAGAGCGGAGGAAGGTGATGAGAGACGGATCACAACGTGGATGTGTGCAGCTAGATCCTCCGCCTCTCCTTGTAATGAGATCAAGTGCCCAAGGGTGCTGCAGCACTTTCTCCCAGTCAGATGGTACATGGAAGCAAGAGGGTGGTGGCTACTGCTGTGCTATTGCTCCCTCATATGGATGCCCATAAACTGGGCTTCAGCTTGGGGTGAAGCTGCCAGACATAGATATGCTTGCAGTGCACAATGAGCCAGGATCAGAACGGGATCGAGCGCTACATGCACTTTGTCCCCTGAGGCATTCAACAATGATTCTGTAGTTTTGGCGATACTTCTTAAACCTTCCTGGCGGTAATCCCGAGTGTGGCTCCGGGGTATATTTTCCGTACCAAAAGCGGTAACCCCCGAGCCACACTCGGGCGTCTTCCAGGTTCCTTCCCTGCGAGCGCCGGCATTGCAGGGGGGGGGAGGAACGCACACAATCGTTACAGGTCAGAAACCCGAGAGGTCAGAGGAAGGTCCAGTCTAGGTGACTGCCATTTGCTGGCAATGAAGATTGTCCGGGCCCCACAGTGGACAGTTGGCAGCAAATGTCCAGTTCACATCCGAAGCGCTGGCCAAGTGAGTGGTCAACATGCCCGCATTCTCCACCAATTACTGGACAGTGGACCTTCTCCATCACCAGGAACAGATACTTCTTATTATGCAAAAAGAAAGCTTTATTTGAACATGTGTGTGAGAAGATTTCCGAATGGAAACTGTTCTGAAACCTTTACAGTGGCATTATGAGGCAAGTAATGTACATTAACATTAACAGAATCCTCCTCAGCTCTCCGGTCAGGTCTGTGATTTATTACTAGAGATAAGAGTGATGTCATGTGACCTCCCAGAATCCTCCTCACCTCTCCGGTCAGGTCTGTGTCTTATTAATAGAGATACGAGTGGTGTCATGTGACCTCCCAGAATCCTCCTCACCTCTCCGGTCAGGTCTGCGATTTATTACTAGAGATAAGAGTGATGTAATGTGACCTCCCAGAATCCTCCTCACCTCTCCGGTCAGGTCTGTGTTTTATTAATAGAGATACGAGTGGTGTCATGTGACCTCCCAGAATCCTCCTCACCTCTCCGGTCAGGTCTGTGTTTTTTTTATTGAAAAACAGGGGGCGCCTTTCCTGGTGCAGACAAATTTATTAAGATCAGGATCAAAGGTAGATAAAAAACATACTCACAAAATTCAGCATGATAATGATAGAAAAAGTAAGTCCATGGACCCAATAGAAAGTCTATGGAAGCTGCACAATCGTGTCTATGTGTCAGCAGAGGAGACTGTGTGATGACGCGTTTCCGGGGTCACGCCCCCTTCATCATGTTTTTTCCCTAGATTTTGCGGTCTCCCTGGCGGGTTTGGGGGCAGCATCCTGCAGACCTTTCTACACACGTGCTTTCTATTATTTATATATTTTTTAACAGACTTGTTTCTGATTACACTGGTGCTTATATTGGTCCATACTGGCGGAGTAGTCCTTTTTGGCGCTTTTTTGTGTTCATATCTGTACTGTGTTTTTTTATTAGTAAAGATATGTCATGTGACCTCCCAGAAATGTGTAATAGAAACACCAAACACATAAATCACAAGGCACATCCTCATATAATGACTCCTTTAATTTCATGATATGTTATCATTGGAGTTTTTGGATAGGGTGGAGAAGGAATACAAATAGGGATGCACCGATACCGGTTTTCCGGTATCGAGTATAAGTACCGATATTTTTTTCCCCGTACTCGCCGATACCGAATACCGATACCGGAAGTCCCATTAAGGCAGCCAGGCGGTGTGTAATGACTCGTCTTCCTGATTAGCTGGGAAGCCGTCCCCATGCTCCCTCGTCACTAGGTGACAAGAAAGCATGGAGCCGAGTGCTGTGTAATGACTCGTTGCCCGGCTTCCTAATTGATCGAGAAGCTGGCCAATCAGGAAGCCAGGCAATGTGTCATTACACGCTGCCCGGCTTCCTGATTGGCCGGGAAGCCGGCTCCATGCTCCCTTGTCACCAGGTGAGGAGGGAGCAAGGAGCCGGCTTTCTGATTGGGGGGCATGTAATGACACGCTGCCCCGCTTCCTAAATGGCCAGGAAGCCGGCTCCATGTGATGAGGGAGCATGGAGACGGCTTCCTGGCCAATCAGGAAGCCGGGCAGCATGTAATGACTCGCTGCCCGGCTTCCTGATACCGGAAGCTCAAGTATCGGGTTAGGCATCGGAGCATTTGGCCGAGTACCCAAATACTCAGCATCGGCACCGATGGGAGGAAAATGTCTCCATTGGGGTCACAGAAAGAAAGACCCCCCATGGAAATTTCAACTGTTCCCCACTCTAATCCCTAAAAAATGGTCCGGGGTCAGGCTTTAAGGATAGATACACGTTTTTTTTCCCTAATGAATACAGTTTTATGATGTAGGGTGTGTGCTACCTTTCTGCCCCCCTTCTGTGAGGAGAAACTGTCCCCTTGCTCATGCAAAGTGACAGTGTCCCTGGAAAGAACCGCCCCCGACCCCACCCCCTCCCTATCCTCTTGATGCCATTTGGCTTATATGCTGTATCAATGATTCAAATACAAAGTGGGATAGAAACACCAAGAGAACAAGACACAAGGCACGTG